TGTACTATGCTGCTGATTGTCTCCACGAATTTCTGCTCCGGCCAGCAATCCCTTGCCGGTAACCAGTCTGGGCCTTTGAACCAAAGCTCGCTTTTACTCAACTTTCTGTGTGTCACCCCTCGGCTTATCAGGTCGGTGGGTTTTGATCTGTAGGCACATACAGAATTGTTGATGTTGACTGTAGTTCCCGTATCTCCTTTACCCGATTCCTGACATAGGGGAGCTTAGACCTGTCATTCTGGACCCACTGTAAGGCCACCTCCGAGTCTGTCCATACATAGGTGTGTGTCACCCTCAGATTACTTAACACCTCCTCTACGTACTTACCCAGTCTTGCTCCCAGCAACATCGCCGTGAGCTCTAGCATTGGGATCGAGCAATCCTTCAGGGTGTCACCCCGGCACGACTGGGGGACCAGATTGACTTGGTCCCCGGCCACCAATACGCTACTGCCCCATAGGCCCTGGAGGAGGCATCACAGAAGACGTGCAAGTCATAATCCCGCCCGGTGCACCCGATGGACCTGGGGAATGTGAACTCGTGCAATTCCGCTGGGGTCTTTGTTAACCAGATCCCACTCCTGGCAGACTGTTTCTGGCAGTGGTCGTCCCAACCTAGGTTCAGCTCCCAGGTCTGTTGTACTAGCATCCTCCCTCGAATGGTGATGGGTGTCAACAAACCCAAAGGATCGAAGGCAGTCTGCACTTTGCTCAGCAAAGACCTCCTGGTCAGCTTCCCTTCCCCATCAGGCTTCCTCTTTAGCCTAAGTCTGTCTTCCTTGACTTCCCCCCTCTAGTCCCAACACCGATGTTACCTCAGGCACTGAGTAGCCAGTATAGTCATGTTCCACCATGCCCCGCAACGTTGGATTGTTTGTCACCCATTCTCTCAATGGCATGTTAGCTGAGAGCATCTCCTGATTAGACTCTCGGTAAATATCCATCAACAGCCTTCATCTGAGGTGGTACCCTGCATGTTGTCTACATAAAATAGGGTCTTCAGTAATTCTTTAAGCGGGCTGTTACAGTTCACAAGGTGGTAGTCTATGGTAGCCTGTAATAGGAATGGTGAACTAGTGGCACCAAACAACACTGCCCTGAATCTATAGGTATCATACCCTTGCTTGGGCATCTCCCTGTTAGCCAGCCACAAGAACCTTGTGTAGTCCCTATCCTGTGGCTGCAACCCAATACGTAGGAAGGCTTTGCTAATGTCTGCCGCATAGGCGTACTGTTCCGTCCTGAATCTCAACAACACATCTGCTAATTTCTGCGTCAGGGAGGGGCCCTGTGAGCAGACAGTCGTTCAACGATGGCTCTCGGGGACTCGCCTGCGAGCTGCAGTTTGAAGACTACTCTGATGGGAGTGGTTACCGACTCCTTGGTGACTGCCATGTGTGGAAGATAATGGGTGTTTCCCAGGGCTGGCATTGGGCACTTTCTCGATGAACCCAAGGGCCAGCTGTTCCTTAATAATATCATCATATTTCCCCACCAGACCCTTCCTGGTCAGGCTGTTCACCAATGAATTCAACTGACCACGTGCCCTCTTGAAATTAGTGGGCAGCGTTGGGGTGGCCCGGTTTCCATGGGAGTCGCACCCAATACTGCCCGTCCCTGAAACTGCAACATGGTTCAAGTAATCTCGATACGTCTCTTCGTGTTCGGGGGCGGCTGGTCACCTTTAATCCCTACTACATCCAGGTCCCATAGTTTATGGACCGGCTCACTGTCGGATATGCCAACTTGCGCCTCTGACAGGCCTTCGTGCACACCAATCTGCATCACCAGTACAGCCTCAGCCGCTGTAATACCAGAGCCCTCCTTTCCCGGGGTCGCAGGGAAGTGAGCTGGTATTCTGCCTCCTACGATGTACCCCGCTGGAGTCCTGACAGGCCCACACCTTCCTTGATAACCCTTCTCGTAGACACGAACTCGTCTAGGTAATCCCCTCCTACCAATATGCCTACATTACTAACATTGTCTGTAGCAATGTCTGGTTCTGCTAGCTTCACACCCAACTCCCTCAAACGTTTGACTGTTTCCCAGCCAGTCCCCTAGTGGTAATGATATTGGGCAGCCTCTTCACCATCAAGGCTGAAATTTCCCGTCGATGCCCGGCTAACCTGACCGTCACATTGACTACTGGATAAGACCTGCGTGGGACTTCCCCACCAAACCCTTCCACCTTCATGTCAACTTTACCAACTGTCTCCAGCTTCAACCTATGGCTAGACTCTCCGCTATGAAGGATCTCTGTGCCCCACTGTCGAAGAACAAACGGGTTGTTTCAGACTTCTTCCCGTTCGCGACCACCGCCATTATGGTGGGCAAGGCCACCGAGCCTTGAAACTGCTCACCAGAACAAATTCTCGGTGCCGTACTCACCACACTCATCGTTACTTCTGACTTGTTCTTGCTCTCCGCCCTTTCTTGCGGTTTGCTCTCCTTAACTTGTGCTAATCCGGCATCATTAGGACACAGTGCACTGTGGTGCTTTCCCCTTCCGGCAGCCCCGCCCACTCCCTGAGCATGGTGTTACAGTCCCTGGAAAAAATGTTCTCCACAACACTTGAAACAAAGTCTCAACTCTCTTAGCCGTTGAACCCTTTGGTTATAGGTGGTGAAGCTTGAACACCCTGAACTAGCGTGTTCTTCATCACAAAACACGCACCGTCTCATACTGGCCGCTTTAGTGGCTTCTCCCTTGGCCCTGTGGGTGGAGGGTTCGCCCTGGGCATAATACGTGCCTACTTTAGTGGGAGGTGGTTTAGGTCTATCTCTCGAATGTCTGGGGAAGTCGACCGACTTCTCCTTGGTAGGTAATTTCTCCCCTGACCTATGCTCAGGTGAGATATGAGATCCCTAACCCTTCAATAATTTGGCTTATCGTGAACCTATTCGTCCGATATTTTAAGTGTAACTCATGCACTGTCGTGCTAGCCAGTTTCCCTCTGAATCACCTGGCTAAGGACCCATTTTGAATCATTCTCACCATGCAGATCTCTGAAACTATTGGTCAAGCTCATAATCTCAATACGGAACTTCTCTAGACTTTGACGGTCATGTCGGCAAGCCTCTAGATCCAACAACCGATAAAGTATAGCTACCTTTATCTCCTCAGTGTTGCCAAACATGTCTTCTAATTGGTCTTTGGCATGTTGGTAATTAGCGTCAGTAATCGGGTAGTGCCGGACCAGATCTAAGGCTTTACCCTTGAGTTGCGACCGCAAATACTGCAACTTGACGGCATCTGACAAATCATTTCTGTCATCTATCTGGGCTCTAAACTGATCCCAGAAACCAATGTACTCTGTTAAGGTTCCGTCAAACGTTGGTAAATTCAGCTGGGGCAACTTGGGCAACATATTGACAGGTGTGTGGTTGTTTGGGGTACCTGCGGTGTTCAACACCATCCTTGGAATACTAGCCTTTAATGTACTTAACTTATCTCTGTACATATTCATCTCCTGGTGACAATCTACATCATCCTTAGTGAATTCGTCCATAGCCTGCTGAAGACTTCCCTGGGATTCCTCATCCTCAATAGCCTGTAGCTCATATGCTGAGAATGCTTGTTCATAGGCTTCCCACTTTTCCCCCAAACTCTTCAAGCAGTTCTGCAAATCATCGCAGTCTACATTACTGCGTTGGCAAGTACCTTGCACCTGTTACGCGTTCTGTTCAGATGCCCTTTGTATGCTGCTACTGATCGTTTTAATTTTGTTAGCACTGAACCAGACTCTCCTGAACCCCCATCTGCCATTGTCGAAGTTTAATGAGGAGTGTGACACTAATTGTACTTTACCCAGTCCACCCCACAGCACGTCACGGTGTTAGGTGAGAATGAACGAGTCTTAAGGCTTCTCAACAAGCTTAACAATTCCTTTGTTATATTGACTCTACTATGAATCAAAAATGTACACTGTTAGCTCTCAAATCCCAATCAAAATGTGTATCGATGTGAAAGCTTAATCTAGCACTCAACTGTACAATGCCAGCAAATAATTACAGGACTTAACCTAGTCTCAGGTATAATTCACAAATCCCACATTAACATGAATCAAGACAATGAAAATCACACACTAATAGGGCAGTATACAAATTAAAATCACTTGGTTTTAAAACAAGCAAATTCAACAATTCAACTTGTGAAACAGTAAATAAATAATGTATGTAAACAGCTTGGCCTAACTGTGCCCAGCTTACTCTGTTTAGCGTGGATGGTTGGATAAGGTAAATCCTAACCTAGCTAGTGTGCTATAACTTAAACCTGGCTTTATAACTCCCTGTAAATAATAACTAGGTTAAATCTGTCCTAGCTACTATAACCTTTTGTAAATATTGCACAAGCCTAGCCTAACTGTGGCTACCTTGCAAATCCACTGTAAGTAATTAACACACAAATCTCCTACTCTGGATTACTTGTAATCACTGTAAATAATTAAATTCACAAGCTTCTCTAGCCTACCTGGCCTGCCTGTAAATTACTGCAAATAACAACTTCTGTGTATAGTCAGCTTGGCCTAGCCTCTGAGTAACTTTGACCTAGGTGTGCTAACTTAAACCTAACTTTTTTAAACTGGTTCCTAACTGTGGCCTAGCTATGATAGCTTAACTGTGGCCTAGCTATGATAGCTTTAAACCCAACTTTGTTAAACTGGTTCTTAACTGTAGCCTAGCTATGATAGCTTAACCTAACTGTGGCCTAGCTATGATAGCTTAACCTAACTCTGTAAAACTGGTTCCTAACTGTGGCCTAGCTTATGATAGCTTAACCTAGCTATTCCACATCCGGTTTTCGAAGGACCACTTTTGTGAAAATTTGTCTGGGCTGCCTCCAAGTGAGTCGCCTACCCTGGCAAACTCTGTTGACACCGAGCTCTGAGATGGGTACCTCAGCCTCACAAGTGGCTTATAGGACAGATTTTTCACAAATGATTGGTATTGCAAGAAACCTCGCCTGCATGCACGTATAAAGGACTAACTTACTTGGTGTTGGCAGCATATATCCTGATCTTCAACTTCCTAAGCCTAGCTTTAGCCCCCTTGGACTTCCCCTTGGGAACCACGTGCAACCGGGAGCATTAATTCCTGCAATATTCAATCGTTATTAGTGTCCTGCCTGCACCTCAGAAATTCCTATATCCAAGAGGGTATGTATCCCCTAGTATAACTATGCAGACTCAGACGCTAGCTTCAGACGACTCTGAGACGCTGTACTTACTGGGCATACTCTCTCTGTAGCACGCCGAGCCCTCAGATAACTCAACTCACGATCTCCTAAGTCACTGGCCAGATCCTACGGTAAAGGGTGAATATCTCGTCTTACTGTATGGGCTGATGGAGGAGATCATCTACGGTACATCGAGGTGTCTCTACCAGATTTCCCCAGGTCTCAGATGTGAAGACACGTGGGGGCGCCGCCTGATGTTCACGGCACGTCTTGTCCAGTCGAAGTCTATCGTAAGAAGGACGCTATTCTGTCTTTGTGACCTGCGCCCCGCCATTCAAGCTAGGGCTGCCAGTTCTCCCTAGCTAAAATTATCCTAATGTTTGCCTACATTATCGGCCTATTACTACCTATGTTAAGGTCTTAGGTCTACTCTATCATTATCTACAGATGCCTTAGTAAACCTAATATTAGTGTATTACCAGTAAACCTACCTACTCCTTCCCTGAAGAGTAAATCTATAAATTAAATAAGCTTACCAACCGCCAACCAGAGAATGCCTTGCTTGTTTGGGAGGGTTTAAGGGTCGCTCGGCTCAGACGACCAGACGCTCATGCTGGATCTGAGCTGTGGAACTATTTGGACCAAATAAATTTCCACATCGACCATCATTTTCAAAACTACCGTTAAAAAACGTCATATCTCCTTAACACACCCCATCATCAGCTAACCAAATGAAAAACCACCTAATTCTCATATTTTTCATCATGAACACATCCAAAACAATATAGTCTTACTCTCGTTATCTGTAATTCCCCCTATTTACACATACACTCACTCAAATGATTGTAAAGAAAAAATTCTTAATATACAGCTATTGCATATTAAATCTAAAGTTAGTGCTAAATTTGCCTAATATACTCTTCCAATATAGGAACTATAATAGAAACAGTGTATCATGCCAAGACAAATCCAATCCCATTACTGAATAAACTTACTAACTTTACCATTTGTAATACTACCTCACTATGTAAGTCTAATTATGTATGTATCTTATAATGTATGTTCAAATGTAATGCTTCATAACCTATGTCAATATAGAGTACGAATTAGTATTAGTCTGCCCGAAATTCCTAGGCATGTTAGTGGCCTTCTTTGTAATTAATATTTTTATAGCATGTAAACCATACACTGTAAGCTTTACAAGGAAATAAACATTGTTACTGTCATTATTAATACTGTTACTACTACTTTTACTACTGTACTATTACTACTACAGTATTATTATTGCAACTGCTACTATTACTAGTAATACTAATAATAATATTGATGCTTGTGATAATAATAATAATAATATTATTATTATTATTATTTTTATCGTGTTAAACGTCATAATGGTAAATGCTTACAAAGGTGTTCTCTTGGGTCATGAAAGTGGCCCGGGCAGAGGGTGCCAGGAAGCCCACAAGAAGCAAGAGGGCCAGGTGGCACTTCATGGTCAAACCTGCGGCAAGAATCATTCACTGAGTAAACTGTCTGACAAAAATAGTTAATTTACATTGGAAATTGCACAGACAATAGAAAAGTAATTCATAGATGTTTCGCAGAACAATACTGTAGGAAAATAAACGATGTAATAGCATTAAGGTGTAGAGACAACACAAAAAATAGGATAAAAAAATAAAAAGTCTTGGTCGAAATGGAGAGGTGCCCTTCCTTTTCCTAGATCAAATCTGATTGCGTTTCTTAGTGGACAAACAATTTGGTTCATTTTGGAGACATAAGATAGGAAGAAAGTAGTCGAGCCAGAATGATTTCATGAGTTAGTGTTGTATGACTCGTACGGGTTTTACCGCTAGTTTTTGCTAACAATACGAAGAAAATAATATACTACAGAGTACAAGCGACAGATTACAGCAACAGATCCAACACAAAAAAATTAAGAAGTATGGAAAAATTAAGCTGCGTAAAGTGCATTAAGAGTGGTCATGTAACAGTATTTGGTGTGGGAATACCGAGAATTAGATGTAAAGCTTAAAGTCAGGATTTCAATCGGTGGGGGGGGGGGAGCTTAAAAATAAGATGCGGAAAAATCGAAAAATATATCTTTAAAAATATGATTTTTAAGTATGTGAAATTAGTTGAACTATCGTTCTTGTGGCGCTAGTCAATATAATGGGTAAATTAGCCATTATTAAAACAAAGGCATTTGCCTCTGGGGAGGCTTAACTCCCTTAACCCTTTCTTTCCCCGTGGCTGCAAACTTAATTAATTCAGACTTTTCGCCTTACAACAGGGGTGTCACCGTGCGTGCTCAGACAGGGCACAGCTTTGAGTATGGCTGTTCAAACGAGTTTACTTCAGATGGCAGGCTGCCGAAACCTGGAAAATGGTGAACCTTGTTCACTGGGAATCACCAAAAGCCTGTATCAAGGCACCATTAGCGGCAGAAGGATCGAGCCTCCATCTCTGCATGCGCTGATTAACCACGACAAGGTCTAGTGCCCCATGCAATAACAATATAATTTTTCCAGTAATCAAACAAAAGTCACTGAACTATAATCTAGACATTATATTTATAATTTCCCCAATCAGAGCAGTGAAAAAGCTAATGGAACACTTGATGATGATGATTATTAATAATTATTAATCCAAAGGTAGTAACCAGTGTTAAAATCAGTAAGGCAACTGCCCTCACAGCTCATTCCACTGGATCTTTTATCATCTCGCCCAGGATGCGATCCACAACAGTCGGCTACACCCAAATAACCTACTTACTGCTAGTGAACAGTGGCAACGGGCATAAGAAAACATGCCCAACGTTTAAACCCTTCCATGAATCGAACCCCGATTTCCCCCAGTGTGTGAGCTGAGCCGCTACCGCGGAAACCAAGGTACAAAACAGGAAATCCTTCCACGAGTTGCCGGAGTTTTAAGACAGAATAACAAGTAAAACAGGAAAGCAGGACTAAGTGAACTATATTTTCCCTGAATATTAAAAGATCTCGACACTATACCCACAAGAAATAAAGGTCCCCAATAAAAAAGCCTTTTAAGACTTTACTGGATAATAGGTCACTCTATTGAACATAATCCCTTTCCATACTGTAACTACTACTATTATGGTTCTACTAATACGAACTACAACCATCTTCAAAACACCTCTGCTAACAACTATCACAGTGTTATTACGCATTCTTTCACAAATATTACTCTACTACAGCTCTAATGTTATTTCATAACACAACCCCAATGACGAGTTAGAGGCCTTGTATCTCATCCTATTTGTTTTAAGAGATAGAGGGAGGGTGGATGGATGGAAGATTAATTTTGCCACCGAAGTGGCTGTAATATGAAGAAGGAATGGAGGTAGGTAAGGAGGTATGACGGAGGGAAGCCTGAATAGCATCCTTGATACCGTGTCAAACATTGTTCATGACTCTAATAACAAATCATTCAGCAGCACGTCAGCAGCCCCAAACCAAACACAAGCAGGTAGCCAGTTAGCAGCCACCTGTCATCATCCACACAACAGCAATACATCCATCTATCCAGTTAGCTAAGCAGCCAGACGTTATCAGTCCACGCAGCCAATAAACAACCTTGGGCACGGATGTTAACACATAGAGAACATGTCAACATCCGAAGTCCAACCAATACCAGGAAAATCAGATGTATGCCGAGTGAAGGCAGAAGTTTTCATAAGGAAAATGAACCCTTTTTTGCGATTCTTGGGCAGCCGAGTTTTGGGTAGCTAGCAGGACTGCGGCCACTGTCACAAACAGCCTGATGACCATCAAAAAGGAAGCTTCGTCTCAGCCGACTGCAGGGATAAAAGAATCCCGAAACCATCACAAGTACGTCTAGCCAAGCATCCACCAGACAGCCCAAAAATCCATTCATCCATCCAGTCAGCAACAAAATAAACATTACCATTTAGGCCCTGAAGGCTAAGGTCACCTGAGCAGTTTAGTCCCTTCCTGCAAACAATCCATGTGTGTTCAGATAATGTAATAAATTTTTAAACATTACCTGGAATGGATTCATATTTTATTATCATGGGAGCGCTAAACCGTAGGATATAAGCGCAGGAGGGGGGAAAGGAAGGTATCAGGCTCGATTCAGGGAACGAGCAAGATGCAATTCCTAATCAAGAGCCTCACCAGCATCAAGGAACCTTCCTTGAGGGATTCATGTTATTATAGCCTTAATGAGGGTTTTGAAGTCACCTCTAGTATTTTTTGCATTTTTTTATAAATTGTATCATGAGAAATAAGATTTTATCCGTTATTATTTTTATTTGTACTGTGTAGACGTTTCTGCTTTCTATACGATCTTCGTGGGCTTCATGTGTAACCCATGTACATGTAACAAACTCTCCGGAAGGGAACTTATTAGGCCTGCCGTGACTAATGAATCCTTGACGACATCCTTATTGCCTCACTGAAATTCCCAGATCATCTGACCCCATTACTTAAACGTATAAACCATCGTGAGTGATGGTATGTGCCAGGAATCCACCTCTGTGATGAATATAACAAGTTTCCCCGAGTTGATGGAATATGACAGGATCCCATCGTGTGTGAAAACACAAAGAAAAACATTTTTGCCTGTGTTAGGTAGTAAACATATTACCCTTAATTTTAAACCTTGGGGAAGTGTTAAATACTTCAGAGTATCAGCACAACATGGTGATTATAACTTGGTGATAAATAACAGAATGTATATAGAATGTGAGAGTGCATCACTACTTCTTATAACACTCACCTGTTACAGGTAGACTTCTTGTGTTGCTAAAAACTCTCACTTGTTTTCAGGCTTTCACACGAGACAATGTGATGCTTGAGTGCTGTTGAAGGTCAGGGAGTCGTATCACTTGGGTTTTTTTTATCTGGTGAATTAATAGGTCGAGAACGAAATAAACAGTGGGTTTTCGTGATAGGATAGAATGTGCGTTACTCCCCCCCGGGAAGTCGGGCGCACACTGACGAAACACAAGGGTTGGCTGGACAGCGGGTACCACACACCTCCCCCTTCTCACTCTATAAAACATTTTCCTGCCTCCTTTTCACCCCTCTATACACCCCCTCCTCCTCTTCCCTTTTCCCCTGTAAATCCCCTTTCCTCACCCTTTCTCATATTCCTTATATACATCGCTTCCCTCACCCTTATCCTATCTCATGGAAATAAATCACACTGACTTTTTTTTTGGTTATCCTAGGTTTCTCTACACATGTGCTGTATGTTTTGATAATCTATGTAACTGTATTTGTGTATACCTGAATAAACTTACTAATCCCCAATTTAACACTTCTTTTCCCAGATTTCCTCCCACTTTATTTTATACCGGGTTTCTGCCCGAGTAACATTCAGCCACATTAACTTCCTCCTCCTCTCTCCTCATCTTCCCTTTTGCCAGTAAATGGTATCGAGCCAAGAAATTTAAGCATACCTTCTCTCTCCTGGATCAATAAAGATACCCAAGTGTTGCACATGTGTTAATTTTATGCATTATTTGTATTATGCTCATAGATTATTTTGTTGATTTTCTTTGAGTGGACCCCATCCACTGTGCCTTGAAGAATGGACCCCATCCACTGTGCCTTGAAGAATGGCCCCGATGCACTGTCCCTTGAAGAATGGACCCACCCACTGTGCCTTGAAGAATGGACCCCATCCACTGTGCCTTGAAGAATGGACCCCATCCACTGTGCCTTGAAGAATGGACCCCATCCACTGTGCCTTGAAGAATGGGCCCCATCCACTGCCTTGAAGAATGGACCCCATCCATAGTGCCTTTCAAACTTTGATCCCATCCACAGCATCTTTTAAAGAGTTTTCCTGTCTACTTTGTCTTCAGAGTGGATTCAATCCATGCGACTTTAAGAGAAAACATGATCCACAAAGCCGTAAAGACCGTAGTTACTCTGCGAGAGTACAGACTGTACACTTGTACTGTAAACTCTGTCTACTGCAACTTTGAGACTAGAATCTGAACACCTTAAAGAGTGGACTCTGTTCAAAGTGCCTTCAAGGTAAAATGTGCATGCTAGCTTCAAAAATTGGACTCTCAACAATTACCTTGAGATGCAAATTCAAACCACAGCACCTTAATGTTGTACTTAATACAACTTAGAGAACTCGTTAGCTCCTTCAAGAGTTGAATAGAGTTATATTGTCTGTCCACTGCACTTCAAGACTGGAGTTAATACACACTTGAAGGGGAATTTTTGATTCCATCTACAGTGATTTAAAGAGGGAAACCCATCTAGAGTGCTTCAAAAGTTAACCTTATCCAGAGCACCACCCAAGTGGTCTCTGTCCATGGCAGCTTCAAGATTGTACTTTGCTACTCATCAAAGCACTTTTGGCTGTGCTGTCACCCACCTTACAGCATTGTTCGACAAATCACTAGAAAACCAACACTCCCCACCCGTACTACACACAGCAAGGGTTGCTCCAATGCATAAAGGTGGTGACCAAGCAAAATGAATACTTACCATTGTTATCCAAATTTTCTGAAAATTTAATCTACAAGAGATTATACTCCTTTCTAGCCCCACTTAATATACTTAACCCCTGCCAGCTTGGTTTCAGAGAAAATAAAAGCACAAATGATGCAATTATAAAAATGCTAGACTTCCATTATACAGTTCTTGAAAATAATGAATGTCCACTAGGCCTCTTCATTGACCTTAGGAAAACTTTCGATACAGCAGACCACAACATCTTGTACCTCAGACTTGAGCATTATGGTATCAGAGATCATGCATTTGCATATATATAAACCCCTACCTTACCAACATACATTAGTACGTTTCTCAAGGGCTCAACCTCCTTGGCCCTATTCTTTTCCTCATTTACATCAATGATATTCCAAATGCATCTCATCACCCTAGATGACAACTTTTATCTCCCACCCTAATTCAAGTTCAATAACACCGTTAATGAAGAACTCCTAAACATATCAACCAGGATAACTGTCAGTAAACTCACGCTTAACATTAACAAGATGTTCTACATGATGTTTGGGAACTTAGCTACAAATGTCCAGCTAAACATTATGAACAGTGGTTCTCCCGTTGCAAAACAAAATGAAGGAAAATTCTTAGGTCAGTTCCTTGGCAGCAACTTGAAATTCAAAACCCACATTTAACACATAAATAAATGTATCCAAATTAGTTAGCATCCTCTCCAAAATACACTACTTATGTACCTCAAACAGCATTACTTACATTATACTACTCACAAATCTATCCCTACCTCACCTACGCTATATGTGCCTGGGGATCCACTACAGTAAATCACCTTAAGCCAATAACAGAACAAAAAAGTGACTATACGTATTGTTACCCAGTCTAGTGCCAGCAAACACACTCCCCCACTCTTCAAAAATCTCAACTTAATATACATAAAATTCACTTCTAGTACTGTGCATATTACATATACATAGTTGTAACAGAACTCATAGGCATAATACTAGACACAAAAATCTCAATATTTCCAGTGTCCGATTCAATCTGTGTAAAACTCAATGTGCATAAAAGGACCTAAAATCTGGAGCTCTGCCAGAAGACTCCAGAGTCTTTCAGCTGCCAGCTACAGTTAGAGAACACTTCCTTACTTTAATGTGATCCTGACAACAATTTATGCTAACAATTCTTGAAACCTGTCTTTCATCCAATAGTCCCCTGTTCTTGTTCCATAATTCTTCCAGCTCAGGTACTTAGCTTCATCTGTAAAGAATCACTAATTAGAATTTTTTATTGAATTAATGAATACCTGCAACATAATTTAGTTTTAAGGCTGTCCAAAATACCTTGTATAATAACGGGCTTTCTATAGCTTATACATATCATTTACCCTAACTGCATAATGTAATGTATTCCACTTCACTTAAATAAAGTTTACTTGCTTCTTGCCACGCCTTGTGAAAGGTCATTATCATAAGGAGATTGACCTTGAATAGCGGCTTTAAGTGGCAGTCTAGCCATATAACTATCCGAATTTTCAAGGGCATTCTGTCGATGAGCCAATTTTAGCAGCGGTCTAGTAAGCACTAGAGATATCCATCTTCAGTGGTAATAGCCTAGCTATCACTAGAAATAATGTTTTTTAGTGGTAGCCCAGCTACTACTGAAAATCCCCATTTTTCGGCAGCCCTGGCTGACACTAAAAAGTAAACACCAGTTTCTAGGCACAGGTGCACATTGGTACAATTATCATACTTGAGTAAATTACAGGGAAAAAAGTGTTTTCAGTACATATCACTAATATATATTTATCGAGTTGGAAACTGTGTCCAATTGATAAATATGTGTCTTTATTTAAGATTGAAAGCTTACTCATGGAAAAGCATCGAGGTTGGTTAACGGGGATTTAACGCCCATTGACTACACAAAGGTTACTAAGGCTGCATGTAACCTGTTTAACACAAAAAAGTACTTTAGTCCCTAAAATAGGGATTTAAGGAAACTAATATATACGGTGTATATATCCTGTATGAAACCCTAATTCAGTATGGATTAAGGTTGTAGGTGGGTGACTATTTAAATAACTAGGAAACATATGGACCCCAATGGAAATAAGACACATTGAGGTTTTTGGGGTTTTATTATTATTAAAGCTTCGCTGGTATTCTCCCGGCCCGGGCCTTTTCCAAGTGGTGGCCCGGCTTTGGCTCCCTGTCTAGGGAGTGTCTGAGACCTAAGACTCCCATGGGAGGAGGCGCAAGTACCCCCTAATCTTTGGGACCAACTGTCCCCAGGCCTAGCCACATTCCCCGCCCTCACGGGGCTCGTAGGGAGAAGGTAGGCCTTTCTGGTCTGCCATCCCCGCCCCAAGGGGCCTAATGGGAATGACAGTCTTGTGAGCTGCAAGCTCTGGCTCAGGCACCTACCCTACCCTACAAGGGCTGGGCATGGTGTCGATCGTTTTTGGGGTTATCAAAAGTTAAATCTTAGAATTTAATATGAAAGATCAATAATATATATTATAATATATATATATATATATATATATATATATATATATATATATATTATATATATAATATATATATATATATATATGCAATAGATCACAGTAAACAGGTGATTTCAGAATATGCAAACAACCACTCTGAAAGAATAGAGAAATTCCAAGCGCTTTCGTGACTACTCACATTATCAAGGAACTATGTTCCTTGATAATGTGAGTAGTCACGAAAGCGCTTGGTTTTCTATGTTTTTTTGTTTTTTTTTTATTCGCCGGTATTCTCCTGGCCCGGGTCTTTTCCAAGTAGTGGTGACCCGGCTTCTGAGTATGATACACATTAATCTCCAGTCAAATTGGTGAGTGATATTAAGATATATTTTCCTTCTGTTATGTAATTGTGTGTATATATATAACCATTTATTATTTTTAATATACAGTCCACAAATTTATATATTTACTAGTATTCCTGGTGTATGTATATTTCATTTAATTAATAGGTCCAGAGCAACTTGTGGATATGACAGTGGTAGGTATCGAAGGGGGACATTTTTTGCGACCTAAGTGTCCCAAATTCCTACTTGTCTAGCTGATAAATAATAGTTATCATTGTTCATTTACTGTTGTGTATATAATTATACATCCAAGTAAATGCAATTTTACACATTTAATTTGCCCGTTGGTCCTTCTTGAACCGGAGGTAATTAGTGAAGTCATTAATTGGTTAATTACTTAATAATTATATGTGAAATGACAGAAGGAGGTGGATGTTAAGTTCACAAATTTACTTAATATGAAGTGGATTATAATTATTACAATATTAATTTTGATAAGCCAAGTCTGGCTAAGTTTATATTATTTGTATAATACTAATTTGATAAGACAATTCTGGCCAAGATTTATATCAGTATATGTGTAATTGATAAGAAAAGTGTGTCTAAAGATTATATTGTGTATATTAATTTTGCTATGCC